AAAAAAAAAAAAAAAAAAAAATTTAACTAAAATTATTTTACACGGAAAAAATATTCATCTGTCTTACATATTTGAAGTGAAACAAATAGTTTTTATATTTACATATGGATAGAATAAAGTCATTAGTTAAATTAATTATGTGGCTAACTATAAAACAAATTATGCAACTAATTATATGAATTAATTGTGCATTTCAAATATTTTTTTTTTTATCAAAAAGTTAACAAATATCTTATGATATTATTCATGTGACAACAATAACAAAAAATGAAATTCATTACATCCTTTAAAAAAAAAGGAAAAAAAAAGCAAAGCAAAAGAAAATCTTTTTTAATAGATTTATCTGAAATTTCTAAGGATTTAAAAAAAAAGAAAAGAAAGAAAACTATGATTAGAATTGATAAAAATTTCAAATTCTTATTTCTATTGTATGCTATTAGTAATTAAAAAGAGCGGTCGTGTTAAATAAAATTGTTCAAAATTATTTTTTAAAATTAAAGTATTATAATGTAAAAGTATTCAATATTTTAGTTCAAATGTCATTTTACGATATTTCGACCAACATCTTCTGGTCCTGTTGAAATGCAAAATGATAAAGATGGCGAGACACAAGCAACACCAATTGATTAATGTTGATGTGTATTTTATAGCATATGATTATTACATGTCATCATCATTACAATTCATATATTTGATTAAAATTACACGTTTTCTTTTCATCACTTCATATGCTCATCATTATTAATTTTTGCTATTCATAGCATATATAACGTTTTATGTGACAGATGCTATCAACAGCAAATTTTAGTGCAATTTATATGATTAATTTTTATCATATTTTTGCCATTATTTAACACACCTGCTATCTTGCTCAATACAGTAATGTAACTGTTGGAAGAATCTATTAAGTTCTATCCAAACTCTTGAAAGTCCAATTTTTAAAGGCAGTGCATAGGAAATTATAAACTGCGAATTGATCATGATGTTTATATGAATTCTTTGCATGATTAAATGATGTTTTACATGATGTTTATTTCGTATGCTCAGTAATGTTTCATGAATACAAAAAAAAAGAATTGATATTTTTATGTAAAATCGTATAATGAGACAAAATACAAATTAAAGCAGAAATAAAGCTTCAGAGGAAGTCGACTATGGAAAATCATAGAAAAATGTAACGATAACAAAAAAATTCATGCAAAGAGAGAAAAATGCTCCAGTTAACAGAGTTTTTGATATTGGCTAACGAATTAAGCTTGAAGCCGTCTGGAAACCCAGTGTTTTCGATGTTTCTGCTCCAGAATCATTACAAACAATGTCGTATTTTTGTTTTCCTCCGTCATTTTCTGATTTCAGCTATCTGAAAATAAGTTTCCACTACACCTTAATTTGTCGCTTTAAAATACTTTTGCATATGGCCAAGTTAGAAATTGCCTTCTCTGAATGTTCAACCAGATAACACAAACCTTTCATATTATGAGGTCACTAACATCCTCACGTAATTACCATCTTTTATTCTATAAGCTGGAATAATAAGATCAATTGTTTGTCACTATTTATTATAACTATCATCACTTTGCCTTCAAAAAATTAAAAATAGAATTACATAAGCAGTTGGTAAGCAACTGATCTAATTATTCTGTATATTCTGTGAGTTAAAAAAAAAGTAAAGAGCTCAAAACAATGTGGGAAGGAAAACGTCAATAATCATTTTGTATAAAATGTAAGAAATATTTCTTTTGAAATACCTTCTGAGACACTTTATGTTGGTAAGTAAAACTGTTTTTTGAATTTTTATAAATATCATATTCGATGTAACACGATGTCTTTTCGATATCGGCATCATGTTGCACACCATACAAATTTGCAGCCAAAGCTGTATAAATTGTTGTACGCACCGTTTCTCTTCGCTAAAAATTACAATCAAAGCAGATAAGAATATGCGAAGGAAAAAGAAGCTAAATTGTAATAACATGAGAAAATTCATTCATTACTTTATCAAATTAACGCAGAATACTATCTGTAAAACAGTTAACTACTCATGTGATAGAGCGTTTAAAAAATTATCTTGTCATCTCTCACTCATTTCTAATCTCCTCCGTTTTGAAAGCTCATTAATGACCAGCAAAAATTAACTGAAACTTCTATTTTTTTGCCCTAAAATATACATCAAAGAAATTGAAAATAGATAAATCTGAGTCATCTCAAAACTCTCCATACTGCTCCCTCCTTGTCATTTAGCAGAACAGACTTCTGCTCTTCATTAACAAAACCAACATTTAAATGAAAGGAAGTAGAATAAGTACATTAGCTGTCAGACCGGCGACAGTTTTTGCTGTTGGTTCGGTGATCAACAAATTCGTACGGACTGAAATTTGAGAAAAAAAATGAAAGTGTAAATTTGAACATTTAACAATACATTATAAAACTAAAAAATTGGTTGGAGAGACTAGTTTTAAAAAGTAGTTAGTAAAGAAGATTACCTCGCTTACCATTAGTTCCTGAAGCTGTTGTAGATGTCTGCAAAATGAGGTTGTCATTTTGAATAATTATAAATATGTTGCGAATAATTATTTTAAGAATGCAAACAAAGCAGAAGTATAACCTATAGGACAATTAAGTGATGAGAGATATCATCGAACAGGCAAGCCAATGTAAAAGTAATGAAATTATCAATGCTTGGTTTAAATTAAATATTTCGAAACAAACAAATTAAATATATCAAAAAACCTTTCTACGTCTCGCAAATTCCTGTTGTACGATTTCCGTACGAAACTGCTTTTCTTTACTTTCCGAAACTGATGCCACATCACCAGATTCATTCATGTCCCATTCTCTTCAAGAAAAGCCATTAACTGTCAGTAAATCAGAATCAAACAGAATATTACATAATTCCTACTATATAATAATATAAAAGTGAATAAACGCGTTAAATTATCCACAGAATAAACATGAAGAATTTGACGCTTATTTTCATTGGCAAAGCTCACTTGGCTCCTGCTCGACCTCCTTCATATAGGAAACAGTCTTCACCATCATCAAAACGACGTTTTCGAAATCGTGAATTACCGATATCTTTCCAAGCTTCTGCATTAAAGCGTGATAATATTTCATCGCAAGCCTAAAAATTAGGGATGAAAACAATGCAAACGAAGCTTTATGAAAGTCAGATAATAATGTGACCATAACCTTTGGATTTTTACAATAATCACAACTCTTTCCGCATGGTCGTAAGTCATCGTCACCAAAATAACGGCCAAAGGAAACGTGTCTGCATCTGAATAAGTAGAATTAATAAAATGTGGAACTTACATACGTCAGGGAATTGTGATGAAGAGTCCAATCTAAAGCACTGTTCCACCCATCAAATTTAAATTTCAATGTAAAGATGCGTTAAGTTTAAAATTAGACTTACAGCGGTTTTTCACAATATTCCACCATTTTTTCGAAACCATGTTGTATTGCTTTCACTTGTTCATTAATTACCGTCTCATTTATTTTTTTAGCCTAAAAGGATAGTTATGTCGGAATAGCTATATTACAGCAAGGTTTATAAGTCATTTCTGATAACTTATATTACATTTAAATATATTATATATGATAGCTTATATTACGTTTAAATATATATTACATATATTCCAAAATATATGTATATTACATATATTAAAAATATATTACAGATATTACAAATATATATTACATACATTATATACATTACAACTTATATCACATTTAAAACTTATACCTTTGTTTTCAAAACATCTTGGTTAATCAGGAAGTTGAGCAACTGTCGGTCATCTCTGCTGTAATAGATACGGCAGTAACTTCGTTTACCATCACGCCCAGCACGACCCGATTCCTGATAATATGCGGCTAGATTCTGTGAACATGTCCAGTGAACAACTACTCTAAACAATGAATTTCAATAATTAACAAAAATTTTCATGTTTTAAATTAAATTCGAATCGATCGAAAAATTGAGGAAAAAAGTTTTAAAAAAGGAAGGGCTCCAAAAATCCAACCAACATAGTTAAGTCACCTGACATCTGCTTTATCGATACCCATTCCAAATGAAATAGTAGCTGCAATAACTGGAATGACATTTTTCATCCATTTGTCCTGGATGTCATCGCGCAGCTTAAAATAACAAGTTAATGCACAGAAAACGAAATAAAAAAGACCTCAAACTTTGAGCTTTGAAAATTATTTCACATTTTCAATCCTAAATGTTATTTAATTTTCACGATGTTTTAAATAAAATGCATAAATATCCCATTTTTTCAAAATAAGACTCAAGGAATGTAACAATTTGAAAATTGTAGCCACTGTGTACTTTATGAAAAACAAACCTTGTTACCCAAACCAGCATGATAAGCATACGTAGGAATGCCTTCCGCCGTTAGACGAGTTGCTATTCGCTCGCATTCCTCTCGTGTACGGCAGTATACAATACCACTACCCATAAACTAAACGCATACGTATATCTTTGCCTTTGAAGACTACTTTTGCTTTCGAGTATCTCAAAACGTTAAATAACTTGTTCCAAAAGCCTGATATGGAATATAATCCGAAAACTCGTTATGTAAGGATCTTGATGTATGAAAACCCTCCAAACAATCAAAATGAAGAAACGAATTTGAGATTAAAAAGCAAAAAAAAGGTGGAAAAAATAAAACATACAGTTAGTTTATCGCAGTTCTCCCTAGGTTTTGAGGAAAATCTGTCTCCTGTTGACTTAAGCATTGATTTATCAAGAACATCAACCGTCGATTTTAGATCAGGAGCAGATTTTGCAGTGGATGTGGGTTTCTGAGTATATCCCAATGCCTTCATCATGAAGAGAGCCAAATGTCTCTGGAAAGCCTTAGATAATTATTTCGAATTTCGTATGTTCAGCCGGAAAAAGGCATGATTCATCTAACGACGGCAATCGAACCTAAAGCACACTGATAATCAATTCCTCTAATTAATTGTTTCTGTAATCACACTGCTTCAAATGTATGTTCAAATCACTGAATAGAAAAAGAAAGGAAGAAAACCTCAGGAAGAGAAGATATTAGGTCCTTCATAATAACATCGTAATACAAATTGTTGCGAAATGTTGATGCCTTGAACATTTTCACATTGTTCAGCCTCAACTGCTTCACGATATCATCTTGTGCATTTTTATTAGCTGTGGCGGTTAATGCAATCCAACATACCTAGAATGTTCTCAATTTCATGACACTTTTACCTTGTTCAAAAGACGAATTTTAATATTCACTTGGAAAGAACCAGGAATCGAATCCATTTACTTAGTAACCAAAAAATATTTTAAAAAGAGAATTATTACCTCAGGCGCTAGCTGTCGCAAATCTCCAAGTTTTAAATAACTAGGACGAAAATCATGGCCCCAGTGTGTTACACAATGTGCTTCATCAACAACAAAATAATTCAGCAAGTTTCTTTTGAACAAACTTGTAATCATTCGCTGAATATTTGGAGTAGCCGCAGATTCTGGTGTAATATATAATAACTGTATCTCAGGTTTTGTTGCTCGTAAATCCTGAAATTTTTTAAATGTCTTTTCTCATTTTCTTGAATTCTAAATAAAAAAAAATGCAGGTAAGAAACAGTATATCCCAGCTCAAAATATGTATTCCTCAGCAGCTAGCTGAGGTATATCAAACTGCATAAAACTCTCACCTCAACAATTCGTCTTCGATCTTCAGTACCAGTTTTTGAATTCAGTGAGTCACATTTGATTCCACGAGCTTTACAAGCAAGTACTTGGTCTTGAATCAATGCTATTAAAGGTGAGAAAACGATCGTCACACCCGGATGATACATCAATGCTGGCAACTGAAATAACAGTTTTTCTTTCTTGTTCATCCTACAAATATTTAAGTTCCATGATTTGAAATTAAGGTATTTTAGATGAAATAATTATGCACAACCGAAATAGTTGAAACCCCGTAAACGAAATAGTTAAGACAATAATGTTGCATGATGAAATTAAAAACAATTATACCTGATAACACAACGATTTCCCAGCACCAGTTGGCAAAGATATGAAAACATCAGATTTCTCTAAAAAATCAATTATGTGATTAAAATATAAATAAATAAATATATATATATATATATATATATGTAATAGAAAAGATCAATACGAAGCCCAAAACTTTATTCGGTATTTTTCTATTTACTACGAGTCTCAATGTATATAGAACGAAAACTAATCATGCAGCTAGTTTTTTTTTTTTTAAAGTTTTGAACCACAAACACCAGTAACTTTTAATTAAGGAAAAAGTAAGACGTGAAACTAAGATTTATGAAGTACACTTTATTAGTTGTGATTTCCTGCAGCTTCATGTATTGGATACTTAATACCACAGAAACCAAAAAAAAAAACTTCCCAATGTCGTACTGAAATATGCAATAGAGTATGGGAGCACTATCATATGGGAGCTCTATCATTTTTCGTCAAACAACCATTAATGAAATGTCATTCATGCATAAGTAAAAAAAATGGACTCACTTCTAGCTATGGTATAAATAGCTTGCTTTTGAATTGCCGTTTTGTACTTCTTGTGTTTGAAAACGGCACACAGGAGATGATCTGCTTTTTCCTTAACTTCTGTGTTGGTTAAATGTCCTGAATTGGGCGCTCCTGGATAATTTCGATTCTCTAGCATATTATCCTGTTCAGAAACAATTACAACCGGTAGTTTACGAGGTCGACCTAAAAAGTTCTTATTCACTGGACAGAGAAAAAGCAAGGTTGCAGGATGATAGATAAAACATCATTGCTATTTCACTCCTTGTACTGAGGACCACTTCAATTTCGAGTTGGATCGGTATAAGTGCAAAGTTCAGAACCAAAGCAAAAATAAAAGCAAATCCATTACCTGATTGAACTGTAGAATTTGCTTCCCGTTTTCCTGGTGACTGACTAATGGTATTATTAATTTTCTTCAGAGAAGAGTGCATCAGAAATGCCCACTTATCAGCCTGATTTTGCAGTACTTGCGGTGGTTTAAAATCATCCTCATCATCTAGTGCAATAATTTCTAAAATTCCTTCAATTTTTATATAATCCGATCTCGAGCAAGTAAAACTGAATCAAAACATAGGCTATGGAAAATAAAAATACATACGAGGGGTACAAAAAAAGGACAAATCCAAGCGGTAAAATATGTCAATCAGCGCGGAATATGAAAAAATAAATGTAAAACTTTATCCTTTAAACTAATTGTGTTCTTTCCAATCATCAGTCAAAATTTCTAAACCATATGATTTCTCTTTGTTTCCCACATAAAAATT